TTTTCTATTTTAATATACTTTAAAATATAATTTATTCCTGTGATGCAAAGCTGAATTTTCATCAGCATTATTACAGTTTTTTCAGCATTATTAGAGCATTATTACAGTTTTGCTGCTTATAATATTTTTTTGGAACCTGTGTGATACTTTTTTTCAGGATTCTTTAATGAATAAAAAGTTAAAAAGAACAGCATTTATTCAAAATAGAAATCTTTTGTATCAATATACACTACCATTCAAAAGTTTTGGGTCAGTATTTTTTTATTTTGTATTTTTTGAAAGAAATGAATGCTTTTATTCAGCAAGGATGTGTTAAATTGATAAAAAGTGATAATAGAGACTTTTATTGTTAGAAAAGATTTCTGTTTTAAATAAATGCTGTTCTTTTTAATTTTATTCATCAAAGAATCCTGAAAAAAGTATCACATGTTCCAAAAAAAATATTAAGCAGCACAACTGCTTCCAACATTGATAACAGATCAGCATATTGGAATGATTTCTTCTGAAGGATCATGTGAAACTGAAGACTGGAGTAATGATGTTGAAAATTCAGCTTTGATCACTGGAATAAATGATATTTTAAAGTATATTAAAATAGAAAACCATGATTTTAAATGGTAATAATATTTTACAATATTATAGTTTTTTCCTGTATTTTTGGTCAAATAAATGCAACCTTAATGCACAGAAGAGACTTCTTTAAAACACAGTAAAAATCTTACTGATCCTAAACTTTTGAACAGCAGTGTATATACAGTATATATATATATATATATATACACACACACACACATATATATATAGATAGATACTGTAGTTATGCTGATTTGCTGTAGTACATTAAAATTAGAAAATTACATTTGAAAATACATTATAATAGAATACTAATTTAATATTGCATATATATAATACTAATACAGTAAATAATACTAACACATAATTGTGATGAGCAGTAATTTTCACTAGTCAATACATAGACATCATTGATGGCATCTTCGTAATGAATGAATGTAAATGTGTTGCAGGTCGAGCATCTAGTGCAGCGGCTGCATGCCTCTCATCTGCAGAACTGCGCAGTCATCGCAGTGCTCTGTTCTCTAAAGAGCAGGTACGTCAGAGATCTCTGTATCCGCGGACAGAGAAGATCGAGGTGACGCTACAGGGGCCCGGCCTACAGGGGACCCTGCTGGTCATGAACAGAGGCCTGTCGACGCCGTACAGCTGCACACGCCGTGAGTGTCTTAACGATACTGTGAGAGTCTTCTGTTCAATTAATAATTTACCTAAAAATGAAAATTAACTGGAAATGTACTCACCCAAAGGCCGCAACCATGATGTAGATGAGTTTGTTTCTTTATGGTAACGGATTTGGAGAAATTTAGCATTAAAGGGGTCATATGATGCGATTTCATTTTTTCCTTTCTCTTTAGAGTGTTACAAGCTCTTGGTGCATAAAGAAGATCTGTAAAGTTGCAAAGACTAAAGTCTCAAATCCAAAGAGATATTCTTTATAAATGAATGGGTGCTGTCAGAATAAGAGTCAAAACAGCTGATTAAAACATCACAATTAACGATAGTTCATCAACTAAATTCTTGTGAAGAAAAAACTGCTTTGTGTTTGTAAGAAACAAATCCATCATTAAGATGTTTTTAGCTTACAAATGCTGCTAATTAATATGCTAATCCATAATATTGCTTTCTCCAGTGAAAAAGTCATCTGATCTGAATCAGGAGAGACATATGCACAGATCAAGCAACATTTACAAGCCCAAACGGTTCAAAACAAATATGATTTTGATGTGTGAGGTCAACAGGGGATGGACTTCTCCACTGGAGGAAGCATTATTATGGATTATGGATTATAGCCAGAAGCAAGTTTTAAGGACAGTAAAACCAGTACATAATTCAGTACATTTACGCTGTGATGAGATGCTCATTTTGGTCCTTGAATAACATGCCTGGGGAGTTTTTGAAAGAGAATAGAAATTATTCAAGGAATGAAAATGAACATTTTGGCTGAAAACTAGAATAGAAAACTAAAAGAAAGTAAAAAAAAAAAATCTGCTTCATATATTCCTTATAACGTCAATATAATTTGTCATTTTGCACAATCATAATAATACTCAAAAAATGTATGGTTAACTCATTTCTAACCATTTCGTCAGATAGTATAAATGTTATATTTTGGTTAAATTATTTATTTCAATAGTCCACTTTAGACACTGTACTAATTATAAGTAAAGTTGCAACTACATGTCAGTTAACTCTCATTTATTTATAACTACATGTCAAATAAATCTCATTAGACTATTAGTAGGCTGTTAGGTTAAGGTTAGTACATTAAGTTGGTATATACTAGCAAAGTTATAGTTAGTAGAATGGCCATCAAAATAAAGTTGTTAGCAGATTTTAAGCAGACAGCCTACTAATACTCTGACTACTAGTTGACATGTAGCTGCAAAGTTAGTAGAACGTGGACTATCAAAAAAAACAAAAAACATTTTTTAATGTAAAATCAGTCTTGAATGTGCAATGTTTCCAGTGATTTTATCAGTGCAAAAACACTTTGGTATGCTGCTTGTTGCAAACTGGTGTTTGATATCTTATTGTTTTAATGTATTATCATAATCACAAACAGGCTGGTTTGTAGCATTTTTTTTTTTTTTTTACCTTTACTGCACTTTGTTCCCTTTCGAGAGGGTCTCTTGATGTTGCGTACAGCGTAAGCTGACGCTTTGGGGAAACACCTTTCTCCTCAAATACTGAAGCCTTATTCGCTTAACGCCATTGCATTGCAATGGCCAATGGCAAAAAAGGGGACGGTAAAGCGCCCTATATAAGCGGCGCTGAGCGGCATTTCATCAGAACCTTTCTCCTTCATTATAAATGCTTAAGTCTTTGCCGTTGATTCATCGCCAAAAGAGGATTATGGAATACGCTTCACTGATCACCTTACTTGTTCCAGTGGACAATGGATTGAAAATATCATTTAGGTTTGCTCGATCTGCATGGGACCCATCGGGATGGTTTGCAGAATGTGAGGTTTGCAGCAAAGGCCTCATATGCTGGCACAGTTCCCGCTGACCCACTGCGCTCTGAACATGCTTACGATATAAACAGCCCCTTCTCAGTGGCGTTCTGTATTGTACAAAGCACAAAATATACAGCCAAGGCGTTTCACTCACACGATACATAACAATGCCCCGCCTCAGTGCAGCATTTTGCCAGCCAGTGCGCAAATTATTTCAGCCACTTACTAAATCATATAAACAACCACCGACCCAGTGGCAAGCTGTTGTGTACAAAGCAGTGTTGTTTACACTGAACGCTATGTACGACGGCGCTGCCACTGTGCGCTGCCCTTCTTTGATAAACACTGGCTGTGCTGCTGTCTTTCATACAGATGTGTAAGTGTTGCTTACAATAACCACTATATACATGCCGGCGCTGCCACCATGCGTTATCTTTATGATATTCACCGGCTGTGCTGCTGTCTTTCTTACAGGTATGTAGTGTTGCTTACACTAATCACTATATATGCCAGCGCTGATGCTGTGCGTTGCTTTATATGATAAGCACTGGCTGTGCTGCTGTCTTTCATGCAGATTTATAGTGTTGCTTCACTGACAACTATATAAGCAGGCGCTGCCATCGTGCGGTGCCCTTCTTTGTCTTTCAGGTAGGTAGTGTTGCTACGCTGACTGCTATATTTGCCGGCCACAGCGTGTTACTCTTCTATGATAAGCACTGGCTGTGCCATTATCTTTCATACAGATGTGTAGTGTTGCTTACTCTGACCGCTATATGCTGCGCTGCCACCATGCGTTGCCTTTCTGTGATGAGCGCCGGCTGTGCCACTATCTTCATACAGTTGCTTACACTGACCGCTATATTGGTCGACGTTACAGCTGCTTGTTGCCCTTCTATGATGAGCACCTACACTCGTGTTGCCTACACTAACCGATGCTGCCGACTTGTGCCGCTGTTCCACACTTAGGTGTGTATTATTGCCTACACTAACTGCTATACATGCTGGAACTACCACCGTGTGTCGCCTTTTGATAGTAAACACCGGCTGTGCTACTGTTTTTCATATAGGTGTGTGGTGTTGCTTGCATTAGCCAATGTGTACACTGACGATATCAGCGCTCATATCCCTTTTATGATACACTGGCTGTGCCGCTGTTTTCAGTGATCTTCCTCTGCATAGCACTGTTGTGTAGCCCAGCTTCAGACTCTTGCATAGAGCCTGAGCCAGCTGCTAAACCAGAGAGCTTGTGGCCGAAATGCCATCCGTTTTCGGCACGAGGAATGTGCCGCATAGCGTTATAGTCAGATAGACAATAAAGTCTACCCGCTATTTTACTCTTCTAGGGGTTTCACTGGTTGTCTTTGTGCTATGATTGTTCCACTGTGCGGTGCAACAAGCTGGAAGAGAGAATACAGGAATCAGAATTATTTTCTCTTGACCCTTGCCTTAAGAGATGAGCTCCATATAATAGACACAGATTGCCCCGTTTCAACGGTGTAATGCTGACTGGCGTGCAGACTCCAAAACACCCCAGCATTACGAGCACTGTAACAATATCTGGCAGGTTGGGACTGCTTCACATGCAACCACTTCAACTATGGTTGAAAGCTTGCATTCCACGCTCAAGCTCAACGAGCATCTTGGTGACTTGCAAATGCCTAGAAGTGTTGGCCCTCTGGAGAAACGTAGCCTTTTACGACGGCAGCCTTGTGCGATGGTTACCTGGCATTCCGTGCCTGGACAGAAACCGAGAAAAGGTACCTGATGACCTACCTGGAACTGCCTGGTGCTCAGAGCAGTTCACCTGTCTTTTAAGTGTTTCTACACTTAGGTCTGTCACAAGCATGTTCTCGTTCGCTTGGACAACATGGCAGCGGTGGCGTTCATAAATCGCTAACCTGAATGGCTAATTCTGTTGAGTTCAGACCCCCTCGCATAATATAATTGACATATAAGCAGCGAATGAGCTTCCTCTGAGTCAGAACAGTGATCACGTAAGAGAAAACACAGGCTGGCAGCAGCTCATCAGTAAATTATTGGAAGATGAATAGAAATTATGTTTCTGTCTAAGCTATGCATTTTAAAACGAAAAAACACTAGTGTAAATGTAGCCTAAAAGATGTGGAAACTGAAAACTATAAATCTCATTTAACTTCAATTTGAGGTAATATAATCTTGTTAAAACTGATTTTTTTTGTATAAAAAACGGAAAAATTGGTATAAAAAATTATCGTTCAGTAACTGGTATTGAAGTCAAGGTATATCTTGATAGTAGCCCTACTGAACAGCTTTTTGTATGTTATGGCAGCCGCACCAAGGGAATGCCTTTATCGAAAACAGAGGCTATCCCACTGGATTGTGGATGTGGTAGCTCTGGCTTATTAATCACAGAATGTAAAAAAAAAACAGGCCCGACTGGTGTGCAAGCCCACTCTACGAGAGGCATGCCTCGTCATGGGCATGGTCTAAAGGGATATCTATTCAGGATGTTTGTTCAGCGGCTAAATGGCTTTTGCAGAACAAAATTGCCATATTTCATAAAAAATGGCTTTTCAGGTCCTTTCAGTTCAAGATTGCTTGCTCAAGGTTGGCCAGTTTCACTTGCTTCTTGCAGGGTTCCCACGCTTCTTGAAAGTACTTGAATTTCAGACCTATGGATTCAAGGCCTGGAAAGTACTTGAAAACAAACATAGGTCCTTGAAAGTGCTTGAATTAAATTTGAAATAAATTTTGTTTATGCAGGGATTAAAGTTTTCCATCGCTACGACAGATTTCCGTCAATTGGAAAAAAAAAGAGGGGAAAAGAAATATGTAGCGCATTGTGGTTGTTGTTCTGCCGGCACAAAAAAAAATCATTCCCCGCTACGGCTGCAGCTTCTCAGTGACAACATAGTGACGCAGCTCGCATCATTCACAGTCGGGTTATTAGCAGAGAACACAGAGCAGAACTTGAATTTCGGCGCGGGATTGCGGCTGTTAATAACAGTTGTACTCATTCCTGCAGGTTCTGCGCTTATAACGCGATGACAGATGACGGAACGTATCATTTGCACGTGCTTTTGAGTCTTGAGAACTCACTCGCGCACTCTCATTGGCAAACTCGCTTAATAATTATTATTAGCTGTCACTCTCCTTATCGCGATCTGTGGGCGCACAGAAAATGAGAGCGCGCGAGTGAGTTCTCAAGACTCAAAAGCACGTGCAAATGATACGTTCCGTCATCTGTCAT